TTTATCCACCTATTTCTGCCCAGGGATCTCCTACACTGGACACTGCATGTTCCTCCTCAAAACAGTTCTCATCCACTACGTTGCTGTCTTCTCTTGAACCCTTGAAATAAAGGTTTAACATGTGTTCCTCTTTCAGAAGGAATTCCAGAGGTCACCCAGCTGCCATTTCTTTGTTCAGGGTTTATAGATACCAAGCAACAGCAGCCATGAGGGAGGTAATTTCTGTCAGGAAACTCATCCATGATCACTGATCCTAATTTATATCAAATCTTTACAGTCCTCTTCCATAAATAATGCTCTGTTTTTCATATTAAAAAAAAAATAATCATTTGTTATTTACACAAAAGATGCACCTAAAAACCACTGACTGAGATGAAGACTCAATTGTGCTAGGCACTATAAAACAAGCAGTAATCCCCAAAGAGCTTTTAAAGTAAGGGATTGATAGTTTAGATCTCCTAGGAAGACGAGTCACAGTGAATCTTTATATTTCTATGCAAAGCAGAGAAAGTTGTTGGGCTTTCATTCCCTTCAGTTCTTGATAGCACAGATAAAGCACCAAGCAAAATAGCTGTGTGACTTTGCAACTTGAATCACAGACAGAATATGTGTGCAGATTTGGCCAGAGGCATTCATTGACTTCTAAGCAGAAATTTCTTCCTGAATCGGGAAAATGGTGAGCTGGGTATTGCTCCTCGCTTAAAATGTCAGCCCCACAGTGGCAGGTGTGATTGCTACAGGCTTCACAGAGAGGAGCAATCCCAAACTCTTTACCATAAAAGCATGTTACTGACTTCCCGCTATTGCACCATGTTCATGGACATGCCCCAAACAATCATTTTTAGAGTGGCTCAACTCCTGAGCTTGCCTTGGTGTGCATTGAAGCAGTTTGTTCTAAGCAAGTCATGTTCACTACCCTAATCTGACATGAAGCCTGATGGAAAAATCTGTGATCGATTATAGCAGCAGGACAAAGAGATATGAGAAGAAAGCAATGCAAAAGAACAGATATCAATCACTGGTTCACAACGAGCCTAAAGAAGGTAGCTGGTGCTATTACTGAATTTGAAGGCAGTGTAGCACATCTTTTTGCTGTTGTAGGTAAACACTCCGAGCTGCAGACTGTTTGTCTTACAGACAGACCGATTCAGTATGAAAAGTAGATTTTGAAGTATGGATTTTGTTGGAAGGGGACAAAATGAACTATTGGTTTGCTACCTCGAAAACAGTGTAGCATGTAATGAGTGTTTGCAGTGGTTTCACAACTGCTTATTACTGTTATTTTTAAGAGTGTTTTTTATAGTTATAATTTTTAATTGATTATGAAGTATATGGTGGAACAAATTTGTATTGAACAGCAGACAGAATCAACAAACTTTAGTGTTGAGTTAGCTTTTTTCTTGTTCCTAGACAAGATCATACTTCAAAGCAAATTAAAAATGTGAAGCCAAATTCTGATTGCAATGCAGGCAACAGAAATCTTCCTGTCAGTCCCAATAAAAGCAGGCGTAAGTTTTCAGTATTGGTCCGGTCCATCCAATTCACATGTCTTTCCATCTTTATCTAATCTAATACATGGTCACAAGATAAATTACAGAAGTATAAGATAAATTGCATTGCTATTCATTTTTTGCAAGATCACCTATACTCTGGACACTAATTCATCTCCGACAGGATCTATTGTAACATACCAGATCCTCGCAACAGCCTCCGAATACTATAATTCCATTTTCTTTAAGAAAACAAAGAGATTGTATGTGCTTGCCCTCAGCAAAATAAATGATATCTCATTGTCACCCTGCAAAATCAAAGTTATAAAAAGATCAAAATGTATTTATAGCATTAGAAGTCTCAAAAGTATTAGGTTCTTATATTCTATTTGAGTAGAAAACTATTACATGATTTAGATTGAGGGATTTCAAGTGGGAAAGGATGACAGTTTATGTTTAGGGATTTCAAAGAGTCATTAATTTGGTTATTTCTGTGTTTGTTTTGTGGTTTTTTTTTTACTTTGTTAGATACTTGATAGTACAGATAGAATACACAAAACTGAGTGAGAAATCTGCAGTATGCTGTAATAATTATTTCTGGTGCTTAATTAGAGCAGTTCAGCTCTCTTGAACAAAAGCACCATCCTGAATCGCTCCAGTACCACTTTGGACCCAGACATTCATGCATCTCTTTTAAGGCAACTTATTTTCGCTTACACTCATCAGATCCACCCCTACCTTCCATACGATCTCTGCTGGGTAATGAAGGATGGCAGTTAAATGCCTCTTGATGTGCAAGAAAACAGTGAAGAATTGAATGCCAGGTGTTGGGAGGTACAAGCTAAAGAAGGCTGCCTTTGCGAGTTGTAGGAGACCTCCCCATTGCCACTAGTGTGAAGGAACACCAGGACACTGCAGGCTGGTACGATTGCAACACAAAAGCTGGTGTCAAGCCCATTGATGGTAGACACCTTTGGTTCCACCACTAGTATGAGCTGTTGAATGAGCTAGGGTGGTGGTGGGCACTGGACTTCATCCTGAACCAGCCCCATGTCTCACCCCAATGTCCCACCACTCTGCTGCTTTGGAAAAGGGGAAGCAGTAAGCTGATGGCAGTTTTGGCCGAGGATACATGTTAACACCAGCCCACGTAATTGCTTTCTGGAAGTCGGCATTGCCACTTTGACTGCCAACAGCTGCCTTCTCCTCCTTGCGCTGCTACAAATCACTGCGAAATGGTGCTGTGAACCATTCAACAGCTGCTGAATTTCACCCAGGAGATTGCTGCACCTCAGTGGTAAGTGAAGTGGCTTTGCATATCAAGATTTTAAAGCAATTTGGGACATTTTGAGATGGAAGACAGTATTGATGTGAAAAGACAATTATATTTCCTGCAGAACCCACTATGCACCCCATGAACACAAGAGCGATATTCAAGACAAGAGCATGTATTGCAGGATGATGTGAAAACCTGGCCTTGCTGGTGGAAGCAAAAGTTTTCCTTTTCAGGGAGGTGCAAGCTGCATCTTACACTGTTTAGGAGCAGTTGAGGCATAATAGTTACATCCAACTAATTGGATGCATTGCTATAGGCACTTAAGAAATACAATAGGCATCTGCACTCAGCTAGATAGTTATCCTTCGGTGTAGCAAGCTGAAGTCAATTATGGAGTTAAATTGTGAAAGATTTGACCTGATGTCATTTATATCTCAAATCATAATTAACACTTAAAGTTCAACTCTATGGCAATTTTCTTTTAATAACACTTAAAACCCATCTAGAGCTCAAAGAATTGCATAGACATGATGAAGGGTGGCTTGAGTGGATGCTAGAATTTTAGCATTAGTAATTAATCCTCAAAACACCTTTGCAAGGCATATGGGTAGCATCATTTCTCTTCAGTTTCTTCTTTAAAGAGAAGTGGGTTTTGCCAATGCCTCCCAAAAGTCCATGGCACCTGTAGATAAGGACTGAGGCTTTTTCAGGTATTAAACCAGTGAACACTCAACTCAGCCACGCTCCCATCTTTTCGTCTTGGTATAATTTTAAATGTAACCAAACTCTTTAGAAAGATTATGAACAAATTGCTTGTTAAATGGCCTGGTTTTTTACCAATTAGAAGCTATGCAAATGCAGAAGAAAAAGTCTGCCATAAACACAGCTTCTGCTTCTAAGATTTTCATGTGGATGAAGTACAAATCTCATGGGGAGGGAAGAAATGTGCTCTTGGACTAAGACCTTGTAAGCCAAGATTCAGCTGGCTGCAGATTTTTATGGTCAAGTTATAACTGCCTGTAAAGCAGGTTAAAATGGAAGTGCTGACAAAACTTTTAAACTGCAACAGCGGAAATGGTGCCGCAATAATTTATAATCTACAGGCAGCTTGGATTTATTATCACAATGACAAATGCACTGTCATTGCTAATAGGATATTTCCCAGCAAGGACTTCTTGTTATGCAAGCCAGGTTCACTATGTCATGCAGCATGATAGCAATAAAGTCTACAAGAATTTGTAATGAACTTCAATTACTAATAGATTATGGTTAATGGGAAATATGTGCAGTAAAGATATGGGTTTTTATATGCGCCTTCTGGTACTTTACAAGGCAATGATTTATGCTACAATTTATGTTAACATTCTCCAGTATGAAAAAAAGCCTAAATTGGTGGAATGCCACTCCATCCATAACAAATATTTAAGATAATTCTGCACATCATGTAAATTAAGATGTAAAATTAGATATTAATCCATTTCATTTTAGCATTTGTATTTTTATTAAAAATGAGGACTTTGCCCTACTGTGTAATGACATTAAAAAATCCTATCATGGGCTGCAAGCATGAATTACACTGATGCAGTGTAATGGCCACAGCAACTGAGCTGTAAGTGCATTTGTTCAATTTGCTGTTGTAATTAACAGAGCAGTGAGAGTATTTTTCTATGTATGTTTTAAAGTAACAGCCCTTGAAACCGCTCAGGCAGGTATGTCTGACTCACAGGGCATATATACGTGATGACGGGGCTCCTTTGGAGGGGGTCAGCCTTTTCATTCCCCATTTTTGTTCTCCCCCTGCCTTCCTGTGTGGCATTGCTCTAAACCCATGCCTGATCTGTGGACATCGGGCTATTCCCTTCCCTGCACAGCAAACCTCCCGCAGGAATGACTTTGGGAAATAATCACTTGATGCAGCATCAGAGCCATGAGCTCATGTCCCTTATCAGACGGACACAGGCCCAGGTGTTTGACTGCTATTTCAAAGGAGAGCTGTTGTTCTTCCTCCTCCTCCACTCCCTCCAGCTTTTTTTCTCCTGTAATTGTAATATAATCTGTATATTTCATCCCTGGCAGTCTTCAAGGCCAGGTTGGACAGAGCCTTGGGTGATATGGTCTAGTGTGAGGTGTCCCTGCCCATGGCAGGGGGGTTGGAACTAGATGATTTTAAGGTCCTTTCCAACCCAAACCATTCTATGATTCTACGATTCTATATTCCAGATTTATGTAAAAAAAGATGTCCCCAGTTTAAAAACAAACACTGTTCAGAACCATCTCTGATGGTGGAGGGCATGCGCCATTCCCGCCAGTGCCAGGGCACATCAGGGACATTGGTCGGTGGGAGTGGGAGAGAGGCGGCCATGAGGGATGAGGGGAGATCGTGAGGGGAGATCATGAAGGGAGAGCATAGGCAGCCATGAGGGAAAATCATGAGGGGAAAGGTGGGTTGGTTATGAGGGGAAACCATGAGGAGACAGGAGGGGCAGTTATGTGGGGAGAGCAGGGGCTGCCATGAGGGTGAGGGCACATTGTGAGGGGAGGGCAGGGACAGCCATTAGGGAAGACAGTGAGGGGAAAGGAGGGGTGGCCATGAGTGGTGTGGGGAGATCAAGAGGGGAGAGCAGGGGCAACCACATGGGAAGATCATGAGGGGAGTTATGGGGCAGTCATGAGGGGAGATTGTGAGGGGACAGGAGGGGTGGTCATGAGGGGTGAGCGGAGACTTGATGGGAGAGCAGGGGTGGCCATAAGGGGAGAGGTGTAATTTTGAGGCGAGAGCAGGGCAGCCATGGGCCATGAGGGGTGGCCATAAGGGGACATCTTGAGGGGAGCTGAGGGGTGGCCATGAGGGCTAGCAACAGCAGCTCTATAGTGTGGAGCCACAATGAGATTGCAGATGAGGGGCAGTCATGAGGGGAGATCAGTTGCCCTAAAGTGACATGGTTTAATGGTGGGCTTGACGGTCCTGGGGTAATGGTTGGGCTTAATGTTCTTAAAGGTCTTTTCCAACCTAGCTGATTCTGTGATTCTATGATGAACACAGAATATAGACGCAATGTTAAGGATTGCATTTACCCAGTCACACTTCTGCAGTATTTTTACACTTCGTATCTGAAGCATACCCAAATACGAAGAACCTGCATAGTATTATACCAGAAAAATATTTCTGATATATTTTTAATATAGGTAGCCTGATACCCAGCTTGTGTCCATCGGTGTTATTCTGATTTAAGATCATTGCTCTGGGTGAAGCTCGGTATAAAGACTATAAATTCACTTTCTAGGAGTGCAAGCAAGGAAGATGCATCCTGTTAGCCCACATGTCCGCCTGCAGGTTTGCAAAGAGCGAGGCCTGTCTGGAGATGTGCTTTTGGAAGAAATTGCTGCTGGTTGAGATAAGGCAGACTTTCTAAGAAGAAAACAATTAATTCAATGCAGAAAGCACATGGGTAAGTTCAAAAGTGTATAAATGCCAATCCATGGACAAGCTGGACTCCCCAGACATGCTCTGGAATAGCAGTATCTTGCCGTACAATTAAGGGCGATCCTTGCATGAAAATGTGGTTCTTCAGTTGGAAGTTGTGTGAGAGATTTACAAAAACTCCTTCAGTATTTATAGTCAAATAAGCATAAAATTGTTCTTCCCCACACTCATTTCCTACTAAATACTTACAGACTCTACTTCTTGGAAATCTGTGTGTTACAAATTTAAAATTAATTTATCCCTTAAGGGTGCTCTTCTGATTCAGTTTTTCCCCAGCCCCTTAACAGCAGCAGCTGCATATACAGAATGGAATTTATTGTGTTTTTTCCCCCAGATTTTTAATGAAATTCTCCTCAGAAGCAAAACCAGTGGAAGAGGGCCACTCCAGCATGTCTGCTTTCAGATAAGGAGTTTTTTTCTCCAGCCTGGGGTGAAAGTGCCTTTTTCTCCAAGTGAATTCTGCTTTTTAAATAAGACCCCATGCAATGCCATGCACCCAGCAAGTACTCTTTCTCCCTGGCCTCTCCCTTTCTTAAAGGGGGAAGGAACTCCTATATGCTTTCACATTGAATCTCAGGGGTTTTGTGTGTGTGTGGTCCTATCCTCCTCTCTTCTCTCCAGATCATCTCTGTTGTCCCTTGTCTTTCCTGGTCTTTCCCACATTTTCAGGACATCCCCAAAAACTCTAAAAAGCTTTTTTTCTTGTATTTCTTACCTCTGCTAAAGCAGAAAACAGCAGGACCTGCATATGCATCTTGTTACTAAGTTTTGTTGTTGAATTTTGTTGGGGTTTTGTTGGTTTGGTTTTTTTTGTGTTTTTTTTGTTGTTTTTTTTTTGTTCTGGCATTTCTGTGGCTCCCAAATATATGTCATTCCTGACATGGTTGATGTGGCAATATTCAGGGGTCACCTCCTTCACAAGCACCATTTAGAAGAGGTCACTGATAGCACAAAAGTGCTACAGAAATAATCGCAACTTTGTTTCCAATTAGAAATGCATGCAGCAATCTGTCCTAATGAGAGATTTTCTTTCTTTCCTGCTTCAGTATGTCATCATAGCAACTCACAGATATACTGAGGTCTTCTAATGCAGGAATCTGTACACAGCACTGTGTTAAAGTGGTAATAGATCTTCTTCTGTTTAACAGCTAAGAAATGTAACGGAAACACTCTAAAGTACACTGGAATTAATATTTGATCACTAGGAGAAGTGTGTGTTTTGAATAATTCACCCTAAAACAGCTATTAATGCACAATATAGTCTCTTGAAAATCACTTCAAATCATTAATAATCTATATTGTACTAGAAATGTACATGCAGAAATAAAACATAATTTCTTGCAGCTAAAACATTACCTAAAGTAAACCATTTCAACATTGAATCAAATTATTTCAGTGGCAGAAATCACACCTGTCTCACGGGATAAATTGGGTATTCAGACTATTGAATTCATTCAAGCGACTATATTGTATCCCAGTATGCATTGTGCCTTGTAGAGAGCATAACACTTCTTAAAACCATAAAATCATTCAGCAAAACACATGCATTGACTATCAGAGTAGAGACAGCCCCACATGGAGAAGGAACTGAGGAACACCTTCTTGCTGAACATCCTATACAATATACTAAACAGATTTAGCTGACACAACTCCACTGAAAATCAAACAAATCCCACTGAAACTTGTCAGTTTGGCATCAGTGTTTAATTCTACATTTTCATTGTTACAAAGCTCACAAAACATTGCTTCCAGGCTAGAGAAAGGTTTGTGTGGTAAACTAAAAGTATCAAAAAGCCCTATGTGACAATAGTAGCTGATTCCTAACAAAGGCTTTGCGTCGGAGCTCACTAGTAAAAATGACCTCTCCAGGACAGTTGTCACCACTGCTATGTCTTAACCATCTTCAATCGCACTCCTCTTGCAGTGCCAGAAGGACCTGGTACACAAATCACTCTGCAGATGCGACATCATGAAAATAAAAATGTGGGAAAAAGGAAGGGAAGCAGTGCCATTAAATAGAGTTGGCTGCAGAGGCAGGAGCAGGCAACCACTGCAAATGCAGAAGGCATGAGGCCACTTTCACAATAACTGGAGGTATGAGATCAAGTCACAAGCTCAAGAAATCCCACTTAGCAGCCACGCACATGGTCAGTCATTCTGAGCCTCCACTCTTGCCAGCTGCACTGAGAAGTTGTCATTTGCTTATTTGGTCTGCAGAGAGTTTTTAAATGATGATGAAAAGGTTATAGATCTTGATTATTTCTTAGGAAATAGGTTTCTGCAGTGCCTGAGTGGATGGTACGAGTTACATCTGATTATACACTATCTGATAAAGCACAATTAACTGCTTAGTGAGTTACACATTCATAGATTGGTACAGAATTAATCAGGTATTAAAGCTCACTCATAACAACAGATATTAATACGGATTTCTTAACAGGCTCGAAAAATAATGTATCAATACTGAAGTAAACTAAGCCATTTCTAAAGGATGAAAAATGTATTTCAGCTGTTAACAGTTTGCATTTGACTATTTGCTTTAGATCAGGAAGCAAGAAGAGGTTAACTCATGGCTCAATCACTACTACGCTCAGGTTGTTATTAAAAAGTACCTTCCCATCTCTTTCTTGACTGCATTCAGGCTTTCTTAACTCTTCTATTACCTGACGCTTTAGTTCAGGAGGAGCAGTTTTAGAAAACTCACAAGTTTCTGTCAGGAAGTCCAGCAACATCTCCCCATCCTTGTTCCCTTCAATAAAGCAGCTTGTTATGTCCATGTGGGATGGGAGCTCATGAAGCTGGCACTTCAGCCCAGATGAATCCAGTATCCTTTTTATGTCAGCAGAGGAAACATAAGAGCAGAGATCATCTAAAGGGAAGGAAGACCCGTACTTCTTCCATAGCGCTTCCCAGCCACTGGTTCCTGGGATAAACCACCAGAAAAATGCTCAAGAATAAGGAAAACCACAAGATTTTTATCACGTATTTTTTTTAGCAGTTGTCCTCACTGTGAGCAGGATCTTTCCAGAACTGGGACATATGTCCTGAGGCATGGTGGAGATGGTTGCCTCCCTGCTTCTGGCGGCCTTGGGATTGGGGGTTGCAGAAGGGAATGGGCACGTTACTTACCCTGGAGCTTCAGCACCTCCCACCAAGCCCCCAGAGACAAGAGCACCTCAGTGCACTTAATCATCCTCCCTTCCACTCTCAACACACTGCGCCTCCCTGCTTCCTACCCATAGGCAGTATCTTGCAGTGACATCCTTTTATAGTTGACATGCTGAACACCAGCTATACAGTGCCATCTTCATGAATTAAACTATTCCTTAGGTTTCTGCTGCGGTTTGGAAGACCAAATCCTCTCCTCTCCCTTCACCTGATCACATGGTGGTTGAGCTACATTTGAGCTTCATTGAAACACTTATTACCAGTAAACTATCTGCTATGTGACCTACATGGGGTACAAAATCCTGATCACATTGTCCATGAAGCTGGATGCGTAATGGAGAAAAGGGTGGGATGGACAGAGTCCAGAGTGAAACTGCACCATCCTCCCAGCCTTCAGCTTTCTCTCCCACCATGCTCACATGCTGTTGGCCATGGGCAATGAGAGGGTTGCCCCTCACCCCAAGCAGACCTCCCCAGTGCTGGCAGAAGGATGTTTTGGCTGGGTACTATTTGGATCTGCAACAATGAAGAGTGAGGAAGGAAAAGGCCCCTGTGGCACTGCAGTCACCTAGAGAACCAAGCCCAAGCCAAGCCCATGTTTCTGCATGCACCTCTTCTCAAGGGACGTTTTACAAAGAAAACAAGCTGGGTGAACTGAAAAGTCCCCAGATATGCCTTCACATCTTTATTTTCCCTCAGCCTGGATTTCTGATTCAGCATTTCTTCTATAAATCATTTATAAAGGATCACCCAGAATGACTGGACCGGATGAAAATAACTTCAAGCCTAATGAGCAGCTCTTGAGAGTTATGACAATAAATCTCCATAACTACTAAACCCAGTTGCTCGGCAATTTTGCAAATGCTTTATCTGCAAACAGTTATTTATAGCCAAATAAACAGTTTGGTGTTTAGAAGAGGGGCTACAATATTTTCTTTCACCTTGCGGAAATTGAATGCAGAACACTAATTGCAGAAAATTTGCTGGTGTCAGTGTTGTGTGACTCAGTGCCATCTCTGAGCTGAGCAATTATACACTACCTGAACGCAGCATTATTATAATAGCTCTCAATAGGCCCAGCATATGGCACTACTTTTGTTTTCAAGGCGATGTAAACAGATTTTTTAAGTATGTTAAAAATACCACCACATAGCTCTTGCAACTCACCTGCTCTCCCAGCAGGGGCAGTGCAGGAGGGACTGCAGCCCTCACCAACTGACCAAGCCCTCTCCTATCAATCCTATTCCCTGTTTTTTAATTAACACATCCTAATGTGTTTGTGTTGGAGATGACGTTACATTCATTTTTTGAACTGAGCTTTGTTCTGCTTATCTTTCAGTGCCTCTTTTTGCTTCAGTGCTCATTTTCATAGCACTTCTTCCTTCTCCTCCTCTGCTCCTCTTTCCCCCACGGTTTTCCCCTTCCTTTCCCCTCTGCTATTCTGAGCCCTACTCCTTGTGTCTCATTTTCTTGCTGGGCCCAGAAATTTATGCTCCATTCTGCTTCACTAGAAAACACAGAATTGTCTGGTCCAGAGAGGACTTCGAATACTTTTCATTTTTAATGTGATTTCATAATGTGATTTTTAATCACATTAATTTTGAATACATGTGTTTCCCCCTGTATTCACATTTCATGAATATCCAAAGGGACAGGTTAAGCAACTGGAAAAGAGTTTCAATTAACTATACACAGGTAATCAGCAATAGTTTGATATTATGATCTATTCCACTTCAGCCAAAGAATGAGAACAGTTCTTTCAAATAATTTAAAATCAGATCATTTAAAACAGGGATTTCTTGTAGTGAGATGCTTGAAAACACTTTAAACTAAAAATAGCTTGGAGACAAATAGTTTGAATAAATTAAGGTCAGGGAAGTGCCACTTCATTGCGGACACTTCATGAACACAAAAAATGAACTTCATTAAACACATTGCAGTTTGCAGACACGACCAAATTCAATTAAAAATTAAGCTTAAACCTCTGAACAAATAATATATCTGGCAAAATTATCAGATGCGACTGTTTACACAACTGAAATTTCTATAGCTTGTGAACCAAATTAAAGGCTTTCTAGAGTCACATTAGACCCCACCATTGCAGTATCTCTAGCATACTTTGCCCACAATAATAAAAGGTCATCATTTACTCTGCTCCCACATTTTCCTGCTGGATTGACCACAGAACATCTCTTTTGAGATCCAAAACAGCTTAAGAATGCTGTTTTCCACCCAAAATGATGAAATTAAGGAAATGGGCAGTTTGAGAAGAAAATGAACCATATGTGCTCTAACACCTGCTGTATGGCAGAGCCGAGCCCTGTCGTAGCTGTTTGCTTAATGCTGCAAGTCTCCAGGAGTGAGATAATGTGGTACCCGGCCTGAAAAGTCTTTTACAGAAAATAGCTGATGTTGAAAGAGCTCTTGTGAGTGAGAGCCGCTGGATGAAGCTGCTCACCTGCTGTGGGGTTCTCTGCAGCGTCCATCACTGGCCGGGCTGTAGGATGGGGAAAGGTAGAGGGCGAGAGAAAGATGTTTTGTGTCCTTGGCATGGGTTTTCTGGCTTACAAAGCCTTCTACTTTACAACCTGCAGCATCGAGCTGTGCAGGTATATAGACTGTGCAGATTTCAATCTATGTAGACGAGTGGACACCATTTGTTACTCAGTGAGTTCACCTCTACTGGTGAAAAAAAACATGTTATAAATAAAAATGCGCACTGATTTCTAGATGGCCTGTGTTGAACTTGCAGGAACCACAGAACTCCTCATGGTTCTTGCCCAGTTGAGCAGCACTGGTAGAGCAGCTCTCACCTGACACCAGGATAATGAGGAGCTTCGCCTGCTCTTCCAGGAGGCTGTGGAAATACTGGATAGTTGCTGAGACATCTTTCACATAATACAGCATCTGGAAAGAGCAGAGATACTTGCAGATATGGTGAGGTCCTGGTGAATATTGTAAGTGGTACCACTAGGTAAAAGAAATCAAATGGGGGCAATATTGACAGAACTGCAGCAAGACAATAGGACGTTAGCACAAAATTGGGCAATGGACTCATACTGCAAGCTTGTGGCTGTCGCTGCCCTGCCTGCTCTCTGGCTCTCCCAGGACTAAGCTTATGGTCATTTGTTAACCTGAGATAAACAGATTTTCCTTTCTTAACATTGAAGATTACTTGTAATGGTTTCAGTAAACTTGGAAATACAAAGGCAATTTCATGGAGAGGACACCCACCACCTGGTTATTTGGACTACTGTGCCCAAAGCTGCTTTGCTGTAACTCGTCTTTCATTTTTACAGTGCATTTTAAATTACAGGGAAATAAACTCACCTTTCTTCCCCTTAGAGTGGATAATGAGGTCATATACTTCATGCATACTTTTAATAGCCAAATCTTTGGCAACATTTATTTTGCAGAGATTTTTACCTGGATCATGTGAATGAAGTCCCATCTTTTAGACTTATTTTCTGCACTCATTCGACTTTCATATTCATATGCTGTCTCCTCATGCCAGATAAACTTTATGTTCTCAAGGTTTGATGCTGCAGCCACATGCTCTGAAATATGAGAGAAGGCAGGACAGAGTTATCTCAATTGCAAATACTAGACTGATTTCCATTTACAGCTTTTATACATCCAGAAGTCATATTTAGGTAAAGAGATCTTGTACCAATTCAACCCAGCAGTAGAATATTTAAAATCTTGAGCACATATGTGAGAAGGGGGCTATAAAGGTCTTTGTAGGATGAAATCTTAAGAGGGTCTGATGTTTTTCCCTTTGAACCCTCATTTGGGCTCATCCAGTCTTCACCTGATCAAAAAAACCCAACCCAACCCAACCCAAACCTAACCAAACCAAACCCCAAACAACTCTTCCCCATGACTGAATTTCAAGATGTTGGCTGAGATAAACAGTTCTGAGGCCATGAGCAGTACATTCCATGCTGAATGGGGGAAGAGTTGATGGCCTCTTCACTTAGGTGCCACACAAGCCCTACATGGCTGTGCAGAAGCCAGGCCATGGCAAAGGGTTTTCTAGAGACTGAACAAACGAGGATGGATCAAAGGGGATTTAATTTTTGAGAGAAGCACAATTAAAAGCTCAAGAAGGGCAGAGAAAGTAATTGGCTCACTCTGGGAATGTGTCATGGGGATGGTGGGAGAGGGAAGGAGCTTTCCTCCATGAGCAAGGAACAATCACTTGACATTTGTCTTCTGCTGTGTCCAAATAATTTTTCAAAAGCCCACAGTTTCAGCCAACTGCTTCACGTAAAAGGCATAATAGTATTTTAAAGCAAAGAGAAGTATAAAGAGTGACACATGGCATGTTTTCATACCTTGACAGAATGCATATCCAGCACCAGAGGAAAGCAGAAAGCTGGAGATGGAGTAAGTTATACCAAGGCCCTGGCTCACTGCATTTCTTTGCCTTTTATGGGAGCAAAAATGAGAGATAACTTCAGAATTTAGGGGATGCCAGAATATTAATGTCCATCTGCTGGCATATGGAGCTCATCTCACTGCGCTCCTGCCTGGAGCTCAGGATTGCTCCAGGACAAAGCTAGCCCTGATGCGATTTCCGTGCTTCGCTGGAGTTAACATAAATTTAAAACTCAAATGGCCCAAAGGCAGACTGAGCCTTAGCTACAGAATACATGTTCAAAACAACATGATTTGCTAAGACCAGGGCCTTTACACCACTAATCACAATGTTTCTCCTTTAGGGCTCTGATTAGGCCATACCCCTATTGTGTAGATGAGAAATGGTTTATCAGTCCTCATCTCCTCTCTTTTATGGCTGGAAATAAGCCACCCTTTTTGATGCTGCTACTATTACTCTGTTTGCTTCTATTTATCAGTCACCAGCTCCGGCACTTGCAGTTCAGATTTAATTTGCTGTTTTAAACTCAGGCTCCATTCAGCAGCAGTTCATATCACCATCACAAATAATCTGGTGCAATGTGGTTCAATTCAATTTCTAGAGAGTCTGAAAGGAGGTGCTAGGAAAACTGAAACCATTTCCAGGGTGGGATTTTGAAGTCGAAATTTCAGAAAGGGCAACCTCATTCTGATTATGGGAACTTTCTGCCCAAAGATTCATCTGAAGCTAAAATGTATCGCCCTAACCATTTTGAAAGTTTTTCCTTAATTTTATCCTGGTTGTGTGCCCTAGCTGGGTGCCATCAAAACTTCAGTACCTGCAGTTGTGCCATACCATGCAGGCAATGTCAATGCACCTCAGTTGTGGGGCCACCAACACTCCAACCACGGTCACCAAGGAGCTTCACCTGGACATGGACTGGGAATGAAGGAAAGCCACAGCCTGCTCATGGGGCTTTGAGGAGAGCCTCCATTCTACCACGCAGCCTAACAGAAACCTCAATTTGTAATCACTGCACGTCCCCATCCCAGTATGAAACTTCTCCTGTGAGCCTGGCTTCTCCTTCCCAAGGGGAAAGTATCTGTTTAGGCAGAAAATATAACTACTGAATCCTCAAAGGTGCAGATAATGCTTCCAGTTCTCTCTGGAAGATCTTAGGGCTCAGAAACCTAATTAATGATACCTATTGGGGACACAATTAATTACCAAATAAGAAAGTTTAAAGAAAGAAATGCAGATTAATATTTCATTTCTAGTTTAACGTAAAACTTAAAATAAGGACAACGTCTTACATTAACTTTATTCTGGAAAGAAACTCACTGAAGTAGGACTGCCAGTTAATCAGTGGTAGGACCACTAGGAAGATTCAGCACAAATCCAGTCTCCCATAGCCTGTGGTCCATGGCCCAGACAGGACAGAAATGCTATGTGCAAGTGCTCAAACTGTCTTATAGGCTGAGTAGATGATCTGTTGTCCATGCTTCACCATCTCAGCCTGGAGCAATGTAAAAGCTCCTGGGATTTTGCACATGCCATCATTTCAAGGATCAGGTCCATGTAATACAGAGACAGATATAAAAAAATACATTTCCTGGAAGCCTTTGGTGCTTCTGGTGACTGGGAACTCCCTCACTGCAGGGAGAAAGGGATTGTTACAAGTTTTATTATTTTTCCTTCAACTTCCACAAGTTGCTTCATACTAAGAATGCTTCATTATTAAGGACTTAAGCAAGAGTAAGGGTTGGAGATTTACAGTGTGGTTTATAATCTGTTATTTACTATGGTTTGGAGCATTTCCAACAGCTCGGACTGCTGACCAGTTTCATTCTTTTCTGCCACATTCATTCAGCAGCTGTTTTCTGGCAAGGTGTGCTCTGCTCAGGGCTGCTTACAGTCTGTACTCCATAGGCGGTGTCTCCTCCATAAAGGACCACAATTACCTGGTAAATTAAAGCCTGGTAGGTGTTAATCCAGTCATACTCAAACTGTGAATTGATATTTAATGCTCACTTGGTAGGGCAATTTGACCAAAGCACCCCTGCTAACATTCAATTCTCCTTAGAAAACTCTTTGTCTTTCCTTCACAAATGTTGCTCAGACCTTGGGACTGGTGGAAGGAAACAAGCTCTAAGCCACTAAGCACACAGCAAAAGTCCTTCCTATCCCTCTTGCTTTCCTTACAATGTTTTCTAATTCAAAGGATGCCAAGTAATTTAGTGTAACACTGTGAGGTTTAGCTAATTGTTATTTGTAAGCAATTTTTAAGATATGTGAGAATTACCATGAGACACTAGAATTTTCCCTTTGATGCTGAGGGGGGGGGTCCTGATTCAGCGCAAGTTGAAGGAGAAAAACTTTCTGAAACGTGCAGATTTTACTCTATTCCCGTACAATCACCCATCAGTTCCCACCTAGTTTAGCTTTTTAAGTTTGTCTAGCCCAAGCATTTGCCATGCAGAGCTCTTCGCAATGTGAGAAACTAAGATTTTAATGAAAGACTAAACATCGTTGAAAAGCAATGATGGCAAAAAAGCATAAAATAGGGACTTTTTTTTACTTTGTCAGAATTGGCTCTTAAAAGTATCTGAATGCAGAGTAATTCTAATGAATTTAGCATATTTAATTAAAATTTCATTTATTTAATGTAAAAATACCTTTGTACTTGAAGATTTGGTCAGCGCTTGGTTCTATCACATGGTTGTTGATGGTGACCCCTGGATATCTGGCTTGTACTTTTGAGAGTATCAGCAGGTCAATCTCACCTAGGGAAGCAAGCAACATGAAATACCAGATGAAAGTAAAGCTCAGGCAACTCCTATCTCCACGATGATCACATCCCCCGTTGGTGATGCCTGCCATTCATGTACAGAAAATGTACCACACAGGTACATGTAGCTGCTTTGTATTCTCACCAGATTGCCACTGAAGGTTTAGCTCTAGGATTTGAGAAAAATTTCAGTATCAGTTCCAACTATCTTTATTCCTCCTCTCTGACTGCCACCATCAGTGCCAAGGGAAAAACAGACACATTCATGTACATGGCTTGACGTCCTATTTTCTGGACATGGCCTAACTTCCTAACTTCCCCGGGCAGATCCTAAATGGCTTTGATAGTACCAGTTCTGATAGTCCCAAATCACCAGCAAACCTGGCAGGATTTCTTAAGAGTCAGCAAAGAGCATTTCTAGCCAAGTGCCTCACTGGTTACGAAGTCATGTGGGTGAGGGAGCAGAGAATATGTGTTTACACTGGTATCAGAGGCAACATTCATGTCTGTTTGTCTTTACTGTACTATGACTTTTTCCATAAGTATGTGCACATACCATCTGTATTTATCTAACCCCTGTTTGCACAGTACCCCAGAACTGACTACTTTTTTTGGTGAGGAATAGTTCTCTCTGGACACTGTTCAGGCCAGCTGCAATTATTTTACTGACAGAAGTACCAATAGATCCAGCATTTCAAAATTTAAAATGAGCTGCCATTGCTCT